GCTTATTATCTTGTGAGATTAATGTAGCATTGCGATCCAGGAAAGCTGATTGTCCTGTTGTAAATTCTCAGGGAAACATTACTTTCTGGATAGTGAAGATCACTAAGAGCACATATTTGTGACTGTATAGATCTTTATTTCCTTACTAAATATTTGGTAACTTTGCCAAAACAAAACAAAAACAATAACATAGGCTGCAAACTTTTAAGCCAATCTGCTTTGTTTCTTTCTTTTCTTCCCCACCTCTTCCCATCTTTGTCTGCCCATCACAGAATCATCTGGCTTGAACTATTCCATTTTTTTTTATTGTGTTAAAATACACAACACAAAATTTTCCATTTTGGCCATTTTAGAACGTAAAACTCAGTGCCATTTAGAACATCCTCAATGTTGTGCAACTGTCACCACCCTCTAGTTCCAGAACTTTTTATCACCCCAAAAGGAAGTCCTATAACCCATTAGGCAATTGCTCCCCATCCCCCCCCCAGCCCCTGTTGATCTCTGATCTGCTTTCTGTATCAATGAATTTGCCTACTCTAGATATTTCATATACACAAAATCACTCAATTTGTGACTTTTTGTGTTTGGCTCCTTTCAGTTTGCTTAATATTGTCAAGATTCATTCGTGCTGCAGCATGTATCTGTGCTTTATTCCTTTTTGTGGCCAAATAATATTCCGTTATATAGATACACCACATTTTATTTATCCATTCATCCACTGGAAGAGAAGAATTTCATTTTAAGAGAAATTTTACTCACAAGATAATGGGAAATGAAATAATTGGCCATACCTTTTACAGCTTTGACCACATATATATTTAAAAGTAGAGCTAAAGGCTTTCAAAGAAATCTGATGTCTTCTCGGCAGAAACCTGAGTATGAGAATTACTCTATATTCAGAAGCTTATGAGATTGGGCCAGGCCTAACCTATAGACTCAGGATTTTTTTTTTTTTTTAGTTGGAGTCTCACTCTGTCGCCCAGACTGGAGTGCAGTGGCCGCTCCCGGCCACCGCAGCCTCGACCTGCTGGGCTCCGGCGATCCTTCCGCCTCAGCCTTCCGAGTAGCCGGAATTACAGGCATGCGATACCACGCCCGGCTGATTTTTTTATCTATGGTAGAGATGAGGTCTCGCTGCCCAGGCAGGTATCGAACCTGCAGGCTCAGGCAATCCACTCACCTCAACCTCCCAAAGGCACGGGATTACAGGCTGAGCCACCGAGCCCGGCTAGACTCAGGATTTATCTGCATACATATGTTAAATGAAACCATATGAGTGGATGGAATTGCCCTCAGGAAAGGATATAGAAGAACCTAGGACAAAGCCTCCAAGAACCCCAACATTTGGGGGGAGTAGTGGAGGAAGAGAAGCATCCGAATTCATCACTAGTGTTGATGATAATAAAACTTAACTTAAGCAAGCCCTCTGCAGGCCCACTGCTTGAGGAGAAAGCACTACCTACCTTTCCACAAGGCTTATAAGAGAGCTAAAGGGGCCAACATATGCACCTAATACCTGGCCCACAGATAGGACCTCGGTGATGGTAGCTAGTAATATTACACTGGTAAGTCTTCCCCCTCTGTATTTTTAGCACCATCACTATCATCAATTTCTACATCTGTTGCTTTCACTATCTCATATCGTCATACCCAGGACTACCTAGTTTGCAATAAACTTTTCAGCCTCTTAAAAAAATCATCTATGCTTAATTGTTGTTGTTGTTCCCAACCTTGACTAACTTCTCCCATAACAGCAAAGGAAGTCAGAGGAATCCAAGTGAGATGGGGAAGCCAGAGGACCAGCCAGATGCCCATGTGTAGAAAGAGTTCCACAGTGTGGGAGAGAACCTTTCTAGCCCCAGATCGCCAAGACATGATCATTTTCCTTCATATCACTTTGTTTTGTTATTGTCAAGGGAAGAGTCATTTATTTCTGAAAAACACTTAATTTTTTGCCCTCTCATTTTTTTGGGGAAAAAAATAATTAACAAAAAAATGTATGCTCTACCCCAGAAACAATTATACTGCAGAAATTGACTTTAAAATCTTCATGGAGTTATGGAGTCTTAACTCCAAAATCAATGGAGTTATTTTTGGTCATTGGAGTGTTTTTTAAGCTTATTAGATTATTGAGCATAGTGTCTTAAATTTTACATTCCTGTAAGATCCTTGATTATCATTGCTCTCTCTGAAGAGTTTATTTCAACATTTGTTGATAAATTATCAAAAAGCATGACTGCACCTTTGCATTCACTTTTTTTTTTTTTTTTTTTTGAGTTGGAGTCTCACTCCCTCGCCCAGGCTGGAGTGCAGTGGCACACTCATGGCCACCCCAGCGTCAACTTGCTGGGCACCAGCCATCCTTCCGCCTCAGCCATCCAAGTAGCCAGAATTATAGGTGTACACTACCATACCCAGCTAATTTTTTTTAAAATTTATTGTAGAGACAAGGTCTCACCAAGTTGCCCAGGCTGGTCTTGATCCCACGGGCTCAGGCAATCTACTAGCCTCGGCCTCCCAGTGATGGGATTACAGGCTGAGCCATTGAGCCTAGCCTGCATTCACTTTTAACACAGGTGATGTGATTGTTTCTTCTTGGGTCTTCTCAAAGATTTGTTAAGAGACGAATGACTTTCTTTTATAACTTCATTTGCTTTGGTCTTTCAGAGTTTCTTCATACTCTTCCTAAACTTCTCAAATGCCTTCACTTTTGATTAAGTAAAATGTTTTCAATGCTTTTTTCCCCCTCCTTATTCAACAATTTAATTAGGATTTTTTTTTTCAGGAATTTCACATCTTTGTTGTATTCCTATTTACATTGTATCTGTAAGTGTATCCCATGTGTCAGAAACATGACTTCCAGTGAAACTAAAGCTACAGAATTGGCATGGCATTTTGCGAGGATGTGCAAGTTCTTTCTTCTTTTATTATTGCCTGGTCTGCTATAAACTAAGATATTGAAATATAAAGAGAATCTAACTTGTATTAAGCTACACAATTAGAAATGATGCTGCAAATGAATTCTGTGTGTTCTGACTCCTGATCCAGTGCACTTTGGGCTGGAAAATGGACACCTCATGATGTCCATGACCTAGTTCTGTTATCCAAATTTGGTGGTCAAAAACATGACAATTTCTATGGAAAACTACTGTAGCCTGTTCTGTTACTAATTTGATACAAGTACTAGAATCCGTACATATTTTCTGATCCATTTAGTAGGGTATGCTATCTTCTATCTCATAGGTCGAGTTATAGGAAATAAAGTGCTTGAAACATACAATAATAATAACATCGGTTTTACAGTCTTGTATGAAAACCAGTAGTGACTGGTGAATATGGTATTCATTGGGAACCCAAAGCTACATTAGAAGCATAGGGAAGCTAATTAGGAGACTTAAAACCCAAGGAAAACTTTAGGTAGAAAATGATGGTTATGTAACTGTGATATTTTGTTCCTATAAGGGAATAAGACAATTAGAGGTAAGAGGGAAGAAGGTTTTTAACAAAATTAAAAATGAAAGTGGGGAAAGTATTTCTAAATATTATGGGTGGGTAGTTTTAAATGTCAATAAGTTTTCATATAAACTCATCGTGTGGAGAGCAATGGAGAATAGTTTTATGTGGGAGGAAATTTTTTTATAAAAATTGACATTTTAAAGACCTAAATGTCTTAAATGGTATGACATGAATGTGCAAAATTAGACTGAACAGAGACATTTTGGAGATTGTATTTGAGTAGTATCCTAAGAGGCAGATAATGAATGACTCATAATGTGAGCAGTTTGGGCTGACTCACATGTTTAGGAAGGAGGTGTCACCAACTCACTGATTCTGTCATTGTTTTCCCTTTGTTCCACCCGGTAGTACCAAACAAATCTGAAATATCAGTGACTTTCCCAGCTCCCGTTTCTCAAGACTTTAAGATTTTGAACATACAGATGTTTTGTACATTTTAATCGTGCTCACTCACATAAGAAACACAAGCCACGTCTGGAACAGTGGAACATGTGGGGGATGGGAGACCCCTGCAGAGCCTTAGCGGGATGAGAACAGAAAAACCAAGACTGGGTGTGGTTTGATGGGATGGAAGAAAAACACCTTCTTACCCCACAACTGCTTAAATGGTACTTCCTGGAAGATATTTTCAATCAACAATTATTATCTGGTACCTGTACTAGATTAGGGGACTTCCAATTGAGGGTGCCTTGGCCTTTGTTCTAGAAAGACTCACAACCTATCAGAAAAATTGACATAGGAACTAACCAGTGGCATATGAGATGATAGATTATAATACACAGAAGAGCAACATTCTGGGGGAAGCACAGACAAATCAGTATCTTAAACCACTAGGATTGAAAGGCCCTACAAAGAAGGTGGCATTTGGCTTTGACCTTAAGGGACGCATTTGAATTCTCAGTATTGGCAAAATAGGAAAAGCATTTCAACCAGAGGTAAGAACCACATGAGGAAAATAGAGATAGTGGAAAGCAAATGTCGGGGGGGGGGGCGTGTGGAGGATGGTTAATAACCCATCCCAACTACAAACTGCAGGACACAGTAAAAGATGAGATGGGACTACAAGGACACAAAAACCTGTCAGGTCAGTGTAGATGTCTTGGTGTGGCTCACATGATCTGTGTCTTGGTATTATCTCAACCTCAAGAATATGTCTAATCTGGAGATGGCTGTTCTAAGTCTGCAAGTTGGTTTCCTGGCAGACCCACAGTCTGAGTGATGAATAGCAGTAGTCTAAGAAAAGCTTGCAATCTTTTCTATAGCCTTACATCCTTGTGTTGCTTATAGTGCTAAAAACATGCAGTGCCAAGACCTTGACGAATATCCATTGAAAATGTAATCATGAATAATGTGTACTGCCACACACACGTACAGAGACACACCATTGAAGAAACTCAAGTTTAACTGATGTGTTGGAACTTTCAAAGAATGTTCACTTGAGTGTTTCTTGTAGATTTCTTTGACCCTTTGCTGTTTTCCCACAGGATTGAAAAAACGTACAAGAAAGGCCTTTGGAATACGGAAGAAAGAAAAGGACACTGATTCTACGTATGTACTTTATGAGTTTGCCTCCCCAAAGAAGCTATTTGCATAAGAGAAGCTGTTGTCGCTGTCACTCTAAAATTGCCACAAAGTTTTCATGGATGTTGTATACCTCCCCATTTGTGCCTCTCCCCAAATGTAGTTGTTCAGTATAAACAGTTCTCAGTTTTTTGCTAAAAAGGTGAATATTTTTTATTATATGTTCAGTTTTTTATCATGTGGTTTTTGTTGTTGTTCTTTACAACCTGATAATTACACTTCCCAGCAGTCCCATAAGGTGGATGCTGTGACTTTCGTTTTTTGTGGGGGACTAAAAGCATTCATTTACACATCTAGGACTGCCCCTAGTATCTGAACTGAAGAAACATCAAAAAGTCTGTTTAGGTAGATTAGATTAGACCTAGTGAGAAACAAACATAGGCTAGGTAACATCCTAACATTTTTACTTGAGATACCAAGATTTTGTATGAGCAGACTTGTAATCACCCAACAGAATTCACAGGACTAATAGGATATTTGGCTGTAAATAAGAAGCCAATGCCGGAAATAACTGTGGAGATGCTTTTACATGTTTAAATGATCATATCCAAGAGAATTAATTGCCCACAGACACTGAAAGACCCTTGAAAATGTCCAGTGATGTCACAGTTTTATTCCATTTAATTCCACTGATCTGGCCATCTTGGATTCTCCTCCAGAAGTATTTGGCTCTGACGCAAAATCTCAGGTGCCTTTTTGAGCCAAGCTGGTAACTTAAATACGTGAAGTCTGCTGGCCAGTAGCTCGGGATTCCAGCCCAAGACCTGTGTAAGGAGAGCACAGCTGCTCAGCAGTAGCTGACTGTGGCCAGAAAGCAATGCAGAGCTGGTATGGCCTGCCGTATGTCAAAACTGAGCCAGTCATACCCCATCATTTGGCTAGAATCTCCAAAAGAAGATGGGAAAACCCATGGTTTTGGGGCACAGGTGACCACGAAGAAGGCCACATTTATTCTCCCATGTAGCTTTTCACTCTGTCCATTTTTATCAAGCATAGATTTTATCAAAGGGTGATGAGAATTTCCCTGTGTCCTTGTCCTCCAAGAATTTATCATTCATGGGATGAAATACCTACTATACAAATTCAAATATTTTTATGCAACTAAATGAAGTAACATATCTGAAATGCCTCGTATGCTACTTGATATTGTACTTAGTAAATGCTCAGTAAATGGCAGCTGCTGCTGCTCTTATTATTACTGATACAAATTAATATGTGGAAAGTTCCTTATGAGCAATTACAATGGAATCCCACAGGAATCTAAGGATATGAAAGTTCACATCTGGACTGATGATCAGTGACACTTTAGGGAGGTGGGAGCCTTGAGTTTAGCCTTCAAGAGAATGAAGATGAAGACATGTATTTCACGCAAAGGGAACAATAAAAACAAAAGCAAGGAGGTAGAAAAGTCCGGTAGGCATTTACTGACAAGACAAACAGGGCAGTTTTTCTACCTCTAGGCAGGTAAAGGTGTAGGCTGGAAAGGATATCAGGAACAAATCGGAACGGCCTTAAGTGTCTGGCCGAGGTATCTGGCCTACTTCCTTGGGCAGTAGGCCCCCTGGGAAACTTGAAGGATTTTAAGCCAAAGAGTGGGAAGGATTGGGGGAACAAGGATATTTTTTGTCCAGATTTACCAAAGGTTAAGTCTCATGTTCTTTTTTTTTTTTTTTTTTGAGTTGGAGTCTCACTCTGTCACCCAGAGTGGAGTGCAGTGGCCGCTCCCGGCCACCACAGCCTCGACCTGCTGGGCTCCGGCGATCCTTCCACCTCAGCCTTCCAAGTAGCTGGAACCACAGGCGCGTGCCACCACGCCCGGCTAATTTTTTGATTTATTGTAGAGATGAGGTCTCGCCAAGCTGCCCAGGTGGGTCTCGAACCCGCAGGCTGAGGCAATCCACTCACCTTGGCCTCCCAAAGCGCAGGATTACAAGCTGAGCCATTGGACCCAGCTAGGTCTCTTATTCTTATATTTACTTTGTGCTTTTTCTTTTGGTAAATATGTATTTCATGGAAGTTACATTTACTGCAGTCCTGCAAATTTTTTTTAAATGATTGGGTTAGGAATATTTTTCTAAGGATTATATGATTTACATTATTTATTAAGAAATTTGCCGTTTTCTAAACATTAACCACCCAAAATAAGTGACGGTCCCTTCACTACAGTCAGAGGAACTGGGCTTCCACAGCCTTGAGAATTACACTTTTCCTTGCTGGACCTCAGTTTCCCTGCCCATAACAATAAAAGTTTATGCTAGATGGAGGCTAACTTACCTGGAGGGCCAGATACCGTATAGGTCAGTGTATCAGCAACATCTGTGGACACCTGCCATGTGCCAGGCGCTGTATGGGACAACACCACTCAGTGCCTCTCAAGAAAACCTCATGAGCAGAAATGAAATTCATTTTCCAACGAAGACAGTGTCTATAACTGACTGTACCAGAGGTTTCTGGCGTGTGAAGAAAGGTAGAAAGAGACAAAAGCTCCCTTGAAAGGGAAAAGAGGTTAAACAACCTCTTCAGGGCAGGCTGAGATCATTTATGTGTGGCCAAAACACTGCTGTTCTATCACCGTTTCTGAAGTTAGGAAAATAAGCAAGTGGTTCCTCTTGGCTTTGGGTGGATGCCCAACATTGCTCTGAGGAAATCTGATGAGAGGTTTGTTTATAAAATCCCAAGCGTCTTTTCTTAGCTTCTCATCATCCCAGTGCCCCGAATGACTTATGTGACAGCACATTGGCTTAAGCTGGCTCCCCCGTCGTGAGGGTCAGAGGACAAGCTGTTTAGTACGTTTAGTGCGTGCCTTTTGCTTCTCATGAACCCCCACTCTCTAATTGGATCACATGTCATCCTTATGAAAGAAATCATACATGCAAAGGGACTGGGAAAGTGCTCTGGCAACGTGCTGTTCTTTTGGCTTTCGTGAATGCTTGTGCTGGTCCGCGAACATGGAAACCTTGTGGATGCAAACTGTTCTCAGGGCTGCTGCAACTCGCTCAGGGCTGCCAAGCAACCTGCAGGGTGGCCGCACCAGCTTAAGCTGATTGAACCTCCTCAGAGAGAAAGTGGGGATAGAATCAGAGCTTCCTGATTTGATCATTACAGTGGCTGATGGAAAGAGGAAGAGCGAGAGCTCTGCTAAGTGGCAGGCCCTGAGCCGGGTATTTTATGGCGCTGATATCCTTTTGAGTCCTCCCAGTAATTCAATAAGTTTAGTAGTAATATCTTAATTTTAGAGATGAGATCTCGCTGCCGAAAGGGGTTGAGTAACTTGCTGAAGGCTACCCAGAAAAGAAGGCTCGGGGCCAGAATTCTAGTCAAGAATCCAGCGGCTATGTTTTTAGCAGAAAGGAAAACACCAGTGGGCAGAATGACACAGTCCAGACAAATAGGAGGCTGAAAGATGAAAGGCAGCAGTTGCATAAGGTAACTGAAACTTCTGGAAATAGAGGCCAAGGGTCTGTGGTAGATGATTCGTTTTTAAGATCAAAATCAGTAAATATAATAGTTCTGCCATTAGAAAAAAAATCATGTAAGGCCATTGCCTTGCTAGACTCTGGTGTGGCCGTGTGCTCTCTGAGCTATGGCCACCACCATGTTTCCTAAGCTTTGGCTCCTTCTCCTGCCTTGGAGAGGTGAGTCAGTCTCTCTCTCTCTCTCTCTCTCTCTCTCTCTCTCTCATTTACTTTCCAAATAAACTATATCTTTTCATCTAAAAAAAAAAATTGAAAATCAAATATAAAGCCTCATCAGAGGGGGTTAGGACATGAGTTCAAAACCTATATCCAAGCGTCTGAGGCTTATAAGATCTCTCCATTCCCCATCCCCGGTAAAATTATATCATTGTTATTATTCTAGATAACATGTAATGCGGATTTGCTATGTTCTAGGCACTTTTATGAGCTCACTGAATCCTCTAATAGCTCTATGGGGTATACGGTGTTATCATGACCGTTTTATAGATGGGAAACGGAGACACAAAGGAGTTAAGTGTCTTCTTTGGTTTTTTATTTTATTTTAGAATTGTGGGATACAAGTGGGGATTTACTGCATAAGTGGGTTGCAGGCAGGGAAGTTTGGCTTCCAGCTGGCCCTCTCTCCCCCAGTAGTGGACCAGGTACCCAATGTGTTGCCATGTGCCCCCCTCTCTCCTCTCCCCCTGCCTCCCTTAGTAGTGCCCAGCATCTGCCAATCCCACCCTTGTGCCATGTGACCAGTGATCAGGGCCCACTTATAAGTGAGAATGCGCAGTACTCGGTTCTGTATTTCTGTGATAGTTCACTTAGTATCATGGTCTCCAACTGCATTCGTGTTGCTGCAAAGGCCATGATTTTGTCCTTCTTTATGGCTGCATAATATAATACCGTGTACATGTACCACATTTTCTTTACCCAGTCAGAGTGAAGTATCTTCCACAACCAGGAAATCTGTGTTGGTCGAGCCCAGGGTAGTCGTGCATTAGAGCTGGTTCTCTTAGCCACCATGCTTACTTCCTCCATACAATGACACACCAGCTCCATTTCCTCCCACTGAGAAGAGAAAGGATCAGAATAGACTCCAATGCTACTATGTAAATTACAGTTTTTCTGATTGACACTTCTGAAATACCAACCCAATAGCTGCAGTATTCGTGAGGTCGAACAGCCTCCTATTTAAGGTCCCTGCTGACATGCCCTGGCGCCTGGACTTTTCTTCTCCATGTCTATTGCTTGCCGTCCCCAAAGACATCCTACCAAAATCTGACTCTCTCTCTGAACCCCTTTAGCAAGGGCTGAAATCCTGGGGAGAATGCACATGTTTTATAATAAAAATATGCAAGGGAAGTGGTGTCTGAGGAGGATGGATTGGCACCTGTCCTCGGGACTCTCCTACTAGCCTGGGCCATGGCCATGATGACGGCTGAATTTATTTGACTGTCTCACTCCCTCTGTGATGAGCATGTCTTCCTTGCTATTTTTATCCCACTCGTAGCCAAGTGCCTGCTCATTACAGGCAATCAGTATCAGTGAACTGTAACTTTTCAGCTGAGATTCTTCCTATCCTTCTACTTTAAATTTCTTTGAACTGTTTAATTCCCATGTCCAGGGAATGTCCAGAGATCTCAAGATTTCTGTCAACTCCCATGGTCTTTCATATCAGGGTCCTCTCTACTTCTCTGTATCACTGATTCTCCTCTGCATCTGTGTGGACACAGAACTCACTAGTTAAGAAAAACCCTGCACTCGATCAAGTGCTTTGCAATCCAAATAGAATGTTCTATTAATTTTGAAGGGGTGTTGATGGTGAAGGGGAATCGCATCTTGAGACCAGATGGTGCCCCCCCAACTTTCTGCATCTCTCCCTCTTCCCCTCCCTCCCTCTCCACCTCCTTCTCCCCCGCCCTCCCTCTCTCCTTCCTCTTCCCTCTCCCCCTCTCCCTCCCTGTCTGTCTCCCTCTCCCTCTCCCTCTTTCCCACCTCTTGAAGAACGGTTTCAATCCCAACAAACTCCTCAGACATCAAAATCCATCTTGAGCATTTATTAAGTTTTTCTTTCAAACGATGCAGAGCACTTTCTAAGCATAATTCAGGTCCCCTTAGTAATATAACATTTTTTAGCTCCTTCCAGAGTGAATCAAAATAATAAATTGTAGTGTTACAGTGGCTGCTCTCTATTTTCTCCCTTCCTGTGTTCCTCCAGTCCAGTTTCCCCAAGTCACAAGACCACTACCCGTTCTACATTGCTCTGAAGTGTAGTGTGGCTTCAAGTGAGCCAGTGTACATTAGTGAAGAGACATCTTGGAAAGAAAAGAAAAAGCATAATCAACCATCACTTTTGAGTACTTATTAAGTGTCAGCAACTCTTATGGGTTCTTCCTGTATATTATCTTAATTAAACTGGCTTAGAAATGTTAAGTGTTTAAGGTCACAGAAATATTGAATGGTGAGATCTGAATGCCCAGACTCATTTTACCCTAAAGCCCTCCCTCCTAACCACCACAGCTTGGTGCCACCACGGGACAGCAGCCCAGACTCTAGTCTTCAGAGGGAGCCACTTAGCAAAACATTACCCTCCATGTCCTGCTCTCCTATAAAGGAAGAAGAGGTAAATCTAGAAATAGGGAGGAAAGGACCGATTCTCAGAATAAAGCTGAAAAATACCACAGACATTCTGTATCACAGGAGACAATTCAGGACCATTCACAAGGAGAAAGATAACAGGTCTGGGCACTGTGGTGTACACATGTAGTCCCAGCTACTTGGGAGGCTGAGACAGGAGGATCACTTGAGCCCAGGTGGTTGAGGTTGCAATGAGCTATGCTAGCACCTGTGAATAGCCACTACGCTCCAGCCTGGGCAACATAGCAAGACCTTGACTCTAAAAAGTAGAAAGATGAGAGAGAACAAATTGGCGTGCATGCTTTGTGACAGTTTTAAATGGACCCGGATGGACTGGGGCAGATTCTCTACAGAACTCTTGTCTCAGAAGTAGACCAAGTCCCTGGCCCACCAACTTGGGCCACTTGGATTTCAGTTTTTGACGAGACTCTCCCTCCCACACATGCCTACACATACACTTAAACATCACTCAGCCATTTTGCTTTGATTCAGATTTCATTCGCCAGTTCTGTTGGGGTGGGAGTATGAGGGAGGGGAGGAGTGATGGGCAATGATTCTTATGGTTGTACTTTGGTCTATGTGGCAAGAATGATTCATTTTAATAACAGCTATTAATTTCTTTTTGTTACAGCGGTTCACCAGATAGAGATGGAATTGTAAGTATTTAAAAGACCATTTTAGCGAGTTTGCGTTTCAGTATAAGCTATGGTTAAATTTCTCAAGCCCCCCCCCTTTTTTTTCCTGTAGGGAGAAAATAGCTTGACTCTTTCAGACCTCTCACTGTTACAATGTTCTGTACTAATTGCATGGGACATCAGTGTAGTCTTGGTCAAGTTGAACTTATTTATTGCATTCACCTAAAGTCCTGTCCCAGGGTAGGCGAGCAGACTAGCCATCAGGATGGTGGGTCAAAAGCCAGACAGGTCATGCAGGGGCTGCTCCCATCAACTGTTATTTCATTTCCACTTTAATGATGTTAGAGCTCGTTATGTGAGAATGTTTTTCTCCAGCAGAGGCCACATAGTCGTAATGGAGCCGAGATCCAATAAAACTGAAAGAGGCTTCCCTCTGTAGTGGTTGTACTGCAGATACATTTTCTACATTAAATTCAGAAGTAGGGGATGGTCTCGAAACCACTTACGCCTGAATTTACAGTCTGAAGGAGGAAAATGTGTCCACTGGGTTTAGATTTAACGGTTAACTCTATGTGTTCAGACTCCTCATTAGCCCCCGGAATTCTTGCTTTTTAAAGAATCTGTGGTGCATGGACTTAGATTTATCTGAGTTGCGCTTATAGGCGTCTGCGTCAACTTCTAAAATGTTTCCTTCAAATCTAAATCAGATGCCTATTCAGAAGCTTCAAAAGAACAGCTGCTACTGAAAAAAAAAAAAAAGCCGGACTCACATTAGACGCATTGGGCCAGAGTGGGAACTAAAATAAGCCTGGTGGTTAAAAAACATTTTTAAAAAATCACCCTTTATAATATTTTACATAAATTGGGGTATTAATTGTAGCTATATCAGGAATTTTTCTCCCGCATTTGACTCAAGGTTCTTAGCTTTGGGGTACCTTTTTGCATTCATGTGGTCCTCACCATGAAATGTTAAGAAAATAGCCTGAAATTGATCAGACATTGGGTAACACTATAATCAAGGCTCTATTCAGCAGGGGAAAAAAAAGACCCAGAAGACGCAGCTTCTCCTCACCTCTTGCTTCTGGCTCAGAGCCCTCTCGTTAACTCTGTCTCAGGTACTCTCTGCTTTGTGTCTCTTCTTTGCTTCTGGCTTGGCCCCCTCGCTGGGTTCTCTGGTCCCCTCCATTCCGACCTTCGCAAGGCTCTGTTAGCTGCTCTGCTCTCTCTCCTTGCTGCTCCCAGACTGGTCTGCTGTCTCTTGCTTCTCTCCCTCTCCATTCTCAGCCTTGTCCTTTTTTTCTTTCTCCAGCCCCTGCTCATTGTCTCTGAGGCCTCACTGCTACCTCCCCTTTGTCTGCTTTTCTGGGCAGTGCCAGTTAAATTTTTAATAGAATGCGCCCCCGGTGCCGAGTCCAGCAACTGGTGTACAGCAGGCAGCCATGAGTATGTGCTGTGTTAACCAACTCAGCAGTCATCCTGGGACTCGTCCCCAGGTCAGGGCTTCAAGCCTGAGCTCCCCGAGTCCCTCATTACTCCACCACTGTTCTTTATTAGCAATTACGCCTTCTTTGTTACTTAATTAGAAATGCCATAAATATCATTGGTCATGATTATCAGGAAAGATAAATTAGTTAATGTCTATTCTCAGGAAATTACACAGACCTGTTCTGAAAAAGGCTACGTTCAAAATAAATACATTTTCTCAGAAACAAGGTATATAGCTTCATAGGCTATTGGAAGTTCTTAGCCAGCTGCTCGTTTTACCATTTAGAAATGTTCTCCAAGTTTTCCCCACTTACTATGGTCACCATGTTTTGAAAACCAGCACTATCTGAGTTTCTGTTTACATTCAACCCTTAGACATCACAACATGATTATCTTTCAAACTCAGACTGATTTCTTTAAAACCTCATGTCTGCAGACCCAGTCCACTTTTGTGTGGCTGATCTGGCTTCTAAATGACTGCCTTTTGAATGTCAGAAGTTGAAATGTGTGGTTTCATCAACGTGGTTCCACAGTCTACAGGTAATAGTGCACCTACTTAATGCTTATAAACTATTTGCTAAGCCCAGGGGCTACACAAAGGTTTAATTTTCCAGTGAGTTATTTAATTTCTGTTTCTCAGAATCCGGCAAAGCCCATCTCTGTGACAATGCTTTGCAGTTTCATCTACAGAGGCTTCGTGGCAGGGCTGCATGTATGAAGGTGGGCATGCCTCGCTCCCCACTGGCCGAATGTCCTCATCACAAGCAGGGCTGTCTGTCATGGTGTAGAAACTTCAAGCAGCTGTGTGTGACAGTGCATTCTAACCTAGACACAAATTCACATTTGTGCAGGGCACACCGACTCTTCCTCAGTAGTTCCCGCGTCTTCTACTGTATACACAGAGGCATCAGGGTCATAGCTCTTGTGGGCAGAGTGTTTCTGCTCACCCCAAACAGGTGTGCAGAAAAGGGTACAGATGTGGGGCCATCAGGTGTGCGTGCTGTATGTATTGGTGACCTCCAGGAAGGCTTTGGTCCAGGGAAAATCTGGTGGAGCTAGCCTTCTCAGACTTAAGAGTAGAACACAACTGTTTGTATTCCGTCTCTTCTTGTGTCTGTTTTCTACTTGTCAATTAAGTGCTGGCTGTATGAGGAATAGATCCACACAGTCCCTTGTACCTGGGACACATCTTCCTCCTTCTCCTTTCTCCTGGCCTCACCAACCTGGCCTGCTGAATAGAGCCTCATTATGGGCCCCAAAGTCCACTCTTTGCTTCAGGAACCCTGCCGAGATTGGTAGGCCGTACAATTTGGCCTAGAGGTGGTTTCTTCTATGGTATGTTTGCTGATTCCATGTGATTCTTTATATGTGTCTTGAAGAACAAACATCTTTTAACAACTTTTTTCTACATGAAAACAATCAATTCCAGCAGCCCAGCTCACATGAACCACCCTACAATAACAAAGCAGAGTGTGCGCGTGAAGGAGGAAAAAAAGTTTCGGTAAGGAAAGATTTTAGTATAAAATTTCCAAGGGGTTGTAGAAACAGTGAGTAAAATCCCAACTTAAAATTTGGAAAACACAATAGCGTTCAAGTATTCCTTTTAAGAAGACTCAGGTATTTCCAAATTACTTCTTGAATACCTGGGACCAATTTTCAAATCAGCTGTACAGACTTTATGTATTGGCATCCACTTTTAAAAAAGTGATCAGATGTGTGTTTCCTGTGTCTTAGACAAAGGGAGGGACTAAAATTTTTAAATGATCTTCCTACCTATAAAGAAGACTTTGGCTGTAATATAAACATCATCATGCAAATCGAGTAGTCGTTTGTTAGGATGAGCACTGTCTCGATAATATTAGGAATTTGGCAGAAACTTGATCTGTGGGAACCGATGTACTGGACCAAAGGATATCGAGTCAGGAATGATGACCCAGGCCCAGATGGGGCAGTACTACAGCTGTGCAGCACTTAGTCAAATTCAGTTCTTCAGTCATACTTGTCACATTTTAAGTTAGCCACTTGTGGCGAGTGGCTGTCATATTAGACATCACGCAGTAGGACATTGCCGTCTTCACAGATAGTCCTATGGACAATGTTGTTGTATAGGATTACTTACAAAGCGAGTCAAGTCCCACTCGGTGGAAAAAAGATAACATTGAGGCAGCACATCGCGGATCTTTAGCTAGTACTTCCCACCCAGGGATCACTACCTGGCCATGAGCTGGCCTTGGGAATCAGGCATGTTCTCAGTGGAAACTGAGAACTCTGATGAATGTATAATTGAACACAGTTGTCACTATATTTATTTATTTAGCTCATCATATTATCTGAGAACAGATGGTAAGCCTAACCAAAATAAAATACCTATTAATACAAGATTAGCTAGCATCAATTACCTTTAAATAACAATCATATTCAAGTTATAAAAGCTATTTATGCTAAGTGTAGAATTTTTAAAACTATAGAGAAGGAAGAAGTAAAAGAATATATAGCTACAATTCCAAGAAAAAAAAAACTCACTGGTGAATGACTGATGTTTGAATGACTGATGCTATTTTCACTTTTAAGCCTAGTCTTTCAGTGGTGTTTCCCCACTTATATTCTCCCTTGCTTCTTAAAAGCTTTCCATTTGAAAATCAAGAGTTGTTATCTTCACTATTACCACTACTATGAGCTACACCTTACTCAAGAATTATTTTTTTCTTGAGGTTTGGCCAGAAGAATTCCATCCAGGCTCTGACCTAGCTTTAACTGGGTCATTTTCACTTGTGAAACCAGAGATGGTTGTAAGAATCCACTGGCATGAATGAGACCAAATTCCTCCAATAGAGCCAAGTATGTGTGTGCGTGTGCGTACGTGTGTGTGTGTGTGTGTGTGTGTGTGTGTGTGTAGTATCTGCCAAAATAATCTAGTGTTGTTGTTTGGTTTTATTTAGTATTTGTTTTTAAGATGTCCCTATTTTAAAAGGAATTTTTTTTCTGTAGGTTTTACTTTTTCTTTATCTCAACTTTCCCTTGGTTTTCATGGAAACCGAGACATTTCACTCTGTCCCAATCTCAAGATTCAGAAAATTTCATCCACAATGTTGGATATGTGCTATCAGAAAGGAATATATATATAATTTGTTCACCTGAATATGTAAACGTTCTTGGGTTTTGAAGGGCTTTAGTTATGGGGATGAGATTGTCATGAAAGTAACTGTAGTATTTTGAGAAATTTGGATTCAGTAATTCACCCAACCTCTGGTTTTTAGGTAACAAATCTAGATCACAAAATTCATGAGTTACTTCTCTAGAATCAGCTTGGCCCATTTGATTTTCTATTATTATAAATTAAATTTCTATACTGAACTTGTGATTATGTGTGCCTTCTGAGATGGATTTGGAGCATTTTGCAAATAAGTCATATGCAAACAGATTGGTAAAGTAGGAATTAAAAGAGAAAGTCAATACAATATAAAGAAAATAGGAACCCTGTCCATTTCCAGGTGAAAGAAAAATTTTTATTAAGGAGCATATTATCTGGTGGACCATGTTCTCAATAGTGACCTTCTAAGGTATACATGTGCAGTGTTGATATATCACTGAAACACTAATGAAGGCAATTCTGGGGAAAGATTAAAATGCTGTAGTCTGAGTACAAATAATCCTTGTCAGTAGTAGACAAAGAGGGATATGGTCACAGGCCTCACGTCCCTGGGTGCTTGTCTGTGGACGCATGGCCTACTTTTTGTAAGTTCTAGTGAAGTGGAAGTGACTAGAAGAGGGAGGGCAGAACATATGATCTATTCCGTGCACACTGTTTGCCCTTGCTAAGCCACTGCTGGTTCTTAGAATGCCCACTCAGTATTCACTGTTAATCAAGGATGCTGGTTACTCCGGGTTATCTAGTGATCCGATTGCACACATGAAAAGCTTACCTTTCAACTTGTCAAACTGAGTGCTAGCCAGGTACCCAGGCGTTCAAGTGGCCTTTACTGGTGAGTGCAAACGCCGAGGTCCTGTGCTCAAACCTCCTGCCTCACCCTTTGATGTGTGCTGTTCTGAGACCTGCAGCCGCTCGGGAACATCCTCTTGCTCAGTGTGCTGGAGACAAGAATGTGACCGGACAGACCCTCCATCACCAACCCGATCGTGTCTTTGTCCTTTGCTGGAAAAAAGCAGCGAATCGTAGCCATTTCTGTTTGCACGATGCCACGTCCTTGCTCATGTGCTTGTGGCACTGTGGCACGGGTGTACTGGGGACAAAACAAAACCTTAAGATAATTAAGAGAGAGCAATGCTGATGTCCAGTCAACTTGCAATGATGGGTGCTCAGGAAGACATAAATCACATGGATGACAAAAATCCACCCTTGATCCTCAAATTCTGTTTTAATAATTTGGTAAGAAAAGCCTTGTGAAAAAACACCAGAATTATTTTTAATAACTAGGAGCTGAATTAACTCATATGGATCTGATTACTTTATATTTTATCAACACAGAGGTTAGAAGAAATCGAGTCAGTGTTATAAATGCTAAAAGATGGGCGACTTAGATGAGTCTTTGGAAATGTTGGAATTAATTGAATATAAAAACAGCATGAAAGTCAAAATGTTTCCATTTAAAATACGTATAGAGGTATGGTTATATCCCCGAAGGTATAGAAGACTAAATTATAATGTAGGTGTTGCTAATTCTTCAGTAATTAAATAAAATATGAGCAGCTAGCTGCTAATATCCCTATGCCTCGGTATCCTACGGTCTTTTGTGAACTAAGCACGTGGGCCCTTTTATGCAGTGTCACGGCAGCTAAATTTACCATTCAGTTACACCGGTGTGGCTTTTTGATAGGCTGCTCTAATTTGTCTTGCCAGTGCTGGATTTTGATAGCTCTTGCTAAATGTAGATAAGAGTTAAGTGTTCTTTGTTCCTCTTTTCTTTTTTGTTCCATCGTTTCCCTTCTAAATTTCTTTTCACATTTATTACAGAAGAAAAGCAATGGAGCACCAAATGGATTTTATGCAGAAATTGATTGGGAAAGATATGTGAGTATCAGAAGATCGCTTCTTCTTTATCAAGTATTTCACAACTTAAAAATGAGTTGAGGGCAACCCCCTCGGGTCTTCTTGTGGGAGCTTTTCTGTCCTCTTAATAAATCCTGCTTTCTAAAAAAAAAATGAGTTGAGGCATTCTTATGTTTATAATGGGACACAGGAATAAGTGAAACAGTCTCCATCTCATTAGAAAGCACCTGGCACATTTAGGATGGTCCAGAGGTTAAGAACAATACTGTCTGTGAGACCTGAGTTCAAGACCCAGCCCTTGCACATATCAGCTGTGTGTGGCCTTGGAATGGTTATTTGCTGACCAGCAAAAATGAAGTCAGTAGCTACCTTATGTTATGGTTGCAAGGATTCAATTAGCTAATTATTTGCGGAACATTTCAGTCATCTTCTTAGCCTGTAGTTTTTGTTCAAAAAATGTTTTTTCTAATACTAACTGTTTCGGCCCTGGGTCTATTTCTAATCATCTTTGAGAATCAAGGCAAGTCAATTAACCTGTGATGCTCAGTTTCCTAACAACCATTAGAGCCTCATGGAGCAGACTTTCCCAGGCCAGATTGCAATCACTTGTTGCTTCTCGGGGAGTGAGGGTGAATCCCAACTGAGATCTAAACTTGCCCCATGATTCCCCCAGAAACCGACTAACACCATCACCACATACTTCACCAACCACTACAGAACACCTGTTGGATCCCACCAGGATCACTCTTCAATTTCCAATCCTATAGAGCATGCAGACCATATCCGCATGGAAACTTATTTCTGTTGCACAGTAAGTGCCCAAATTCATGATTCCCACAAAATGTGTTTGCTCTTATTCTTTGGGTGACTGTCCTAGCCCAACCTTCCCTTTCATAAAAGTTAAGGTTGATGTTAAAGCTTTTACATATTTTTTAAGAAGAATTTTTGTAATAAATGATACTGCCATTTATTGAGTTTTCACTGTTTGTCAGTCATAATAATGCATGCTATTAAATTTTTACCGGCTTACAAGGTAAATGCCCCTTTCTCTGCATTTTAGAGAAAACTGTGGCTTAGAGAGGTGAAATTCTTCATGCATTCCACCCCGATGCACCAAGACACGTCACTCTGAAAACTTACTGCTGGTCCTCTCTTGGATCTATTTCTTGGTCTTGAGATCCTTTTGATATTTTTAGCAGTTCAGTTCCCTAGAATGTGATAGCCCCTAAGTTAACTTAAATCCAAATTGTTCACAGGTAAAGTTACAAGGGAAGTTACTAGCTATTAAGAAAGAGTGGTTTCTTTTCCCAAAATTATTATTTTTTTGCCTAGGAAGACTCTGTTATATTTTGTAGAATTCTTGAGTACATGAGAATGGGGTATTCTTAATAAACAAGAAGTATGATAATTAAAATAGAAAATTACCCATCAAATACTATATGCTATCTCTCATCAAGCACATAAACCCTAAACTCTAGTACTGTGCCTGGTCAGTGTGTGAGTGGATTTAGTCCTAAAAGCTAGTCATATCACACAGAAATTGCTGTTGTCACTGTGCATTAGGCCCCAGTTTCTCTAAGTAGTAAGAAGGGCTTATTCTTAATGAGTCTATCATCCTAACTTTGGCAGGGAAGTGTCAAGGAGGATGTGACCTTGAGGCAAAGGTCTGAATTGTGTAAGCAGGGGTTAACTAGGTGAACATTTGTGGGGAGAGATTTTCAATCAGAGGGAACAGCACCAATGAGGACCCTGAAATAAGACAGTGTTTGTGGCCCCCAGATCATAAAAGTTAACAATGGGACAGAGACTGGGCAGTTGCAGACTTGAGGCCACCATGGGGGCCAGCCCATGAGGGGCCTTGTTGGCTACACAGAGGCACATCTTTTATTTCAAGGAGAAACCAGGGACAGGTTCTGAGCAGGCAAGTCACTTCAATACACTTGCACTAAAAAAAAAAAAAAAAGAGAGATCGGGCACAGTGACTCATGCCTATAATCCCAGCACTTTGGGAGGCCGAGGCAGGAGAATTACTTGAGCCCAAGAGTTTGAGAACAGTCACATAGTAAAACCTTGTCTTTACCAAAAAAGAAAAAATAAAATAAAAATTAACCAGGCATGGTGACACATGCCTCTAGTCGCAGCTACTCAGGAGGCTGAAGTGGAAGCATCGCCTGATCCCAGAAGGTTGAGGCTGTGATGAGCCGTGATCATGCCGCTGCACTCCAACTCAAAAACAACAAAACAAAAAACTCTGAGTTCTTAAGGAGACCACAATAAATGTGGTGGCTTTCAAATTCTGAAAAATACTCCATGATCTTTCTTATATACAGCTCGTTTTTTAAAAGTTGAATAAATAGAGTACAAAGGTAGTTACCGGGGGCAGGTGAGTGGGGCATGGAAGAAGTGGGTCAAAGGTGCAAATTCGTAAGGAGGTGGAATGAATAAATCTTAATATCTATGTACCTCATGTAGACTATAGGTAGTAACATTGCATTGTGTACTGAAATTTTGCTAAGAGAATAGACTTCAGGTGCTCTTACTACACATACATACACACACACGCGCGCAACCACAAAAGGAGACAGAAATGCAGATTTGACTGTAGTAATCTTTTCACTAGGTATATGTAGACCAAAATATTATGTGGTACACATTAAATAGATATAATAAAAAATGATTCAAGAATAGTGGCTTCTTCCATGGCATCTCTCTCCATGGTCCTGGCATGTTTACTGCTTCAGTGACTCAAGACTGTCTCTCCAACTCTGCTCTCTCTCATGGCCAGGCCTACAACCTCCACTTCATCAGGGCCACGTTGGACTCCTCCTCTTCCTCCCCTCTGGGTCATAGGGTTTAGTCCCAAATGCCTGGGGTCAAAACCTAGGTCTGACATTGGCTGGGTGTGTGTCCTTGAGAAATGGCATCTGATTTCTCTTAATTTCCTCCTCAGTAAATGGGAAACTTTTTTCCACATATGACTGTTATGTGATTCAGTGAGATAAAGTGTGACCATAATACTTATCATGTAATGGGAATTCAAATATGGTCATACTGATCCCAATCATGCAAACTGCCTTTTGCCTTTCCTGCTGTTTTCCCAAAAATGTCAGCTATCTGCTGTTAGGACTACTTCAGCTAAGAGTATCCGCACTCTCCCAGTACTTGAGGGTAGAAGCCTTGGCATCTTCTTGAACATCGCCCTCTCCTTGTTCTTACAGAAGCAACAATCGATCTTCCCAAATGCCCTTGATTCTCCCCCTCCCACCAACAGTAAACTGACCCATGTTCTTAGCACATCTTGCCTGAATGGATGCATGTATTTCGAATTTCCTCCAGTTCCTCCTGCCTCAGTCTATCCTGGACTGTGCTTCCAGCTCATTCTGCCACCCCCACCACTTGAGGAGCCACAGCTGCTGGATCAAGTCTGACTCTTCCCCTCGCCTGTTGGCCACCAGGGCCTATTTCCTATCACCAGCTGTGCAGCCTTCTCTCCAGCTGTGTCTTCTTGGCTTGCCCTTCCCTTTCCCCCTCCGAATCACCCAACGTCCACTCCCGCCTTGATGCCTCAGAGGAGGCTCCTCCCTGCCACCTAGAAGGGGCTCCCACTCTGCCCTCTCCAGTCTGTACTGAGAGACCCATGCAGATCCCGCTGATTTTTTGTAACCACACTAACGTTCTTGTTTTTTAACTCCTGTGCAACCCAGGTGCTTGTGTTTTGTATTTTTTCCTAACTTTTGCCTGCCAAAATACATTTCCGTTTCTGTGAGGACAGAGACTTTGCGTTCTGTACCCCTATGCTGCCTAGCACAGTCCTTGGTGTATCCAGCTCTTTAATAGCCTTTATTTCATGGACAGTTGATTCTGCCTTTATTTTCCCAGTAGGAGGACTCTCCAAGTATCCTGAGTAAATATCTAAGCATATTGTTCAGCAGTCCCTTCCAAAACTTGGAATTTTAGCCTCCTAAAATAAGAGACTTGTTGTATCCTTAAATAGAAGCCTCTAGAAGGAAAATAAGTATTCCTTGATAATTGTCAGAATAATAATTGCTTGATGTCACTTGTGTTTTCTAGAACTCCCCTGAACTGGATGAAGAAGGCTACAGCATCAGACCCGAGGAACCCGGCTATATCCTTTCTGTCTTTCTTCTATTTTATTTTTTATTCATTCTCAGAAAACAATAAGATAAATTCAGGCTTTGCAAAGGCTATGAAATAACCTAATTTTCCCAAGTCCTGTTATTCCTAATATTAGAGATGAATAATCAGCATAGAGAATAGCCGGATCCCTAACCAGCAGGCGTTTTGCCTTAATCTATTCATAGAAAAGAGAGAGAGGAAATATGTGCTGGAAAACACTTGTGCAAATTGTGGGTACTGGGTTGTCTGCTGAAACCTGACATGACTGACATATACAGTGGCTGGAAAATAACTCTTACTACCCTCTGCCTCCAATTCATCTCTGGGCAAAGCAAGTCACACTCCGGAGCATTTAAAAGTCACCACAGATCGTCACCCATCAAACATCCTTCCTCTGTGTTGATCAGTAAGCTCACGTGTGTTTGTCTGTGTGTGTACAGAGTGTGACACAACACACGGCCAGCTAAGCGCAAACGTGGGGCATTATATCCACTGCCTCTTGAAATTCACCATCCTTGATCACATTCTGAGGAAAGGGGAATAAATTCAACCCTCTTTCATTTATGTTTGCTTGCTTTGATTTCCTGCCATCTAAGGATACTTTTGCTGCCCCTCTGTGCAATCACTCTTATCTTATACGCATCATTGCCTTCCAGGAGAATAAAGAGTTATGTATCTTTAACTGTGTTCTACCTACCAAAGGAAAGCACTTTTATTCTTCAAGTGAATCGGAAGAGGAAGAAGAATCACACAAGAAATTTAATATCAAGATTAAACCATTGCAATCTAAAGACATTCTTAAGAACACTGCGACCGTAGACGAACTGAAGGCGTCAATAGGCAACATTGCGCTTTCTCCGTCACCAGTGGTGAGTGGGGTTTTTTTTTACGTTACGCGATGGAACAAAGAGCCATATTCTGCCTATACACATGCATTAAGTCAAGCAGAAACTCCTTAAACTAAAGACTGCATGTGGTCACCATTTTATAAACTCCATAAGCCTTCAAAAATTTATTCTAGCTCAGTAAAATTTCTCTTATTTTGTACTTTGTTGCTTGCGATTTCAAAATGGTCAAAATGCACGGAATGTTTTCTTTTTTTAACTTATTTTTCTGCAAACACTTAAAAAAGACAGAAAATAAATAAAAACATTATCCAGACTTACTTCTGAAGCAGACTTAGCAATTTAAAATTTAACATGATGTTCACAGATTTACTAACAGTGATTTTTTAAGTGTATCTTTGTTTCTTTTATTATGCTATACCACATGGAAATACAGGGAAGGAAATTGCTTTTAAAAATTTTTTTCATTGCTATGCTCCAAAATGAAATCATAGTCTAAATAGATATTAAAACTCATCAAAACTCAATCAAAATCATAGTCTAAATAAATATTAAAACTCATGTTAGTCAGTATATTTTATTACCAGTTGTCTTAAATATGCTCATCTTTAAGGCATGCAAATAAAAGTATTGCTTTATTTATATTCTTCAAAGAGATATTTCCCCCAATTTGTGCTTCCTTATCCCAGTTCTCTAGATTAAATCTCTTTAGTTGCAGGATTCTGAGTCCCAACATTTATAATATTTTCTCTGTGATATTTGATAAGTTCCACCATTGTCTTCTAAATATAGTTGTGAAGAGCAGATGCAAGCTCTCAAACTGGCAGCTGATATGTTCTTGGCATCTTCTTTAGAGAGATGTGATCTTCCTACAGCATTCTCTCTGAAAAAGGTAGTTTAAAAAATGTTGAACCATTTTCAAGATGCTTCTGGAAATACCTCAACTAACCTTCCTAAAGGAGTTGGAAGCATCTATCCTTTGATAATCAACTTTTGCCTGACTGGGATGAATGGAGACTATAATGATACCTTCTCAGCACTTATAATGGACTTTGGCGCTGCTGCTGGTGACAACCAAAGAGATTGCTGAGAGTAACTCACCGCAGCAAATGGCATTTCAAGTAATTTTTAATCATATACTCACCTGCTACCTTAAAATATCTTCCTGAAAAGGAGCACATTAAATATATTAGCTTCCTTTCCCTCCTGCCATGGAAGGCACATATTTTAAACTCACATATTGGCCTATGAGTTCTAGTGATGGAGGATTTCAAATGTACACACTTCCACTCTTGACATCTTTCAAATCATTTTCTTTTACTGAATCACTTTTTAGCTACAAATCTCTTTAAATGCCTGAAAACATTTTATAGCCACTTCTGTGCAGTTTATTTTATTCACTTCTCTACGTTTGTTCTCTGTGTAATAAACTTAGTGGGCATTTGGAAACTACCTGGGTAAGTAAAAAAAAAAGCAAGTTCAGAGGATTTAAGTGAATCAATTTAAGTGAAAGCAAACTTACTAAAACAGACCTAGAAACATAGTAGATATTTGCTGAAAGCTGAATCCAGGAAAGAAGAGATTCCCTCTATCAAAAAGAATATGCATGCCTAAGTTCTCTGGTAGATATTCCTCCAAGCAGATACAGTGCTGAGGGTGCAGCAAGAAAAGTGGGTGTTTCCTCTGAGCTCCTCTCAACATCTGTTTTTAAGGGAATATATTGACATGGTAGGATTGAGACTCTGATGAAAAAATGTTAGTGGAAGCAGAATGAAAACTAGATGGAGACAATCAGAGAACGTAACTTTGGGGCTGTGCTACTTCTGTGCATCAACAATGCCACAGGCCCCAAGGGACCCTCGCCCCCCATAACGTCCCACACCTCCAACTTGTTCCTGTTGATGTGAGAACCTGGCTCTTCTATTATGATGAGTCCCGAATGTATGTAGTTTTTGATATTTGGCACAGGAGAGTGAGCTGTTATTATTACTTTAGGGAAACGTGAACGTGTTTCTGGACGTCCATAAGTACAAAGAGAGAGAGGCTGTAACTGAAAACACATTCTTGGCTTTAGAATCCTTGTCCTTCCCTAACTAACTCGTGTGTACATGTATTTTGCAAGTGACATATATAGTTCTTTATCTCCAGAGCCAAATAAGTAGAAATAACCTTCTGAAATCCAGTTGGTGCCATGATAAAAATGGCAATGATGTGTACAACTTTAGATGTTTCCAGCCAAATGAGTAGACGTGGAGACATCTATACTTTCTTTGGGAAATTCAAAAGAAATAGAGTCTATACTAGTTAATGATCTATCAGAATATTTTATCGAGGCACTTCGGCTACAAAAGCATCAATCATCACATTAATACAAGCAGAGGAAATGGCAAAGAATAAACTGTTCATAACAATGGTTTGCACTGGACTTCTGATTTCTATTTCTTTTGAAGTTTTAAAGATAAAGTTGTGCTTCACTTATTTCATTGTCCATAAATATGTACCCATGACTTATAACCAACTTGATCTCTTTTTTTATGAATTAGTTTTATTTTATTTGAATAGTTTTCCTACATACGTTAGGTAGTCACATTAATAGGTGAATGGAATGAACGAATTAATTAATCATCTGCCTCCATGTATGTGCAATATAAATCTATCTGAAAATTACTCCTTCTCAAAACAAAGCATCTGCAACATGGAAAATCAGGGTTTTAATTGCCGGCAAAAATCCTAGTATAGTTAGACAAAGAAACATAATTTCAATCCAGATGTTGCCTTGGCCCTTGATTTTTATATAGGAATAAACTATAACGTGGGCCAGGACAAGGGAGAGCACCAAAAAAGGGGGGCAATAATGCTAGGATTACCTCACAGGTAAACGATGTTAATTCCTATTCTTGTCATGCTATAGTCTCCTTGTAAGTTTCCGTGGCTACAGGGCAAAGAATGAACATCATCCAGGTTTGATTGTTGATTCACCATCCGTATTAGATGTTAGACTATTGATTTAACTGTTTTAACACAGACCGAAATAAATGCTTAAACAAAACAAGTGGTTTATTTATCTCCCACATAAAAGCCAAGACTGATAATAGAGTGATAACCAGAGGATAATGTCAGATAACCAGAAGTAATAGAGCCCCATTCCACTCAAGAACCCAAGAACTTTCTGCATTTTGGTTCACCTTTCATAAGGGAGAGCTACCTCCTTACCACCAGCAAGCACCCTATGTCCCAGTCTTGGAATGGAGGAAAGAAAAAGTAAAAAGCCAATGGTTTCCTTTAAGGGTTTAACGCAGAAGTTGTACACATCACTACCACTCAGAACCCATTGGCCATACTTTAGTCATATGGACACAATAGAGTCCCAGACAGTCTTTTTCTGGATAGACATGTAGTCAGGTAAAATACGAGGTTTTGTTACTAAAAGACAGAGGAACAAGTGGCTGTTGGGGGATATTGACAGTTTCTGCCACTGTGTTTTCAATAATCTCAGTTTATTTCAGGGAGTTCATTAGAAAACGGGGTTTTTCCCCCCATTTATTTTCAAAATTATTCCCAGAACCTATTGAGTCCAGAATGTTCTTACAGTTTTCTAATCACTAATTTATAAAAATTAGTGGTACTGTGCTACATGTTAGCTAACAGCAGGGTGAACTGAAACAAATTTCAGTAAAATATTGATGAGTTTGGTTGGTATGACCCCCCCAACAAGAACAGTGCTCCCCCTGGCTGACAAAAGTTCACTGCTTTTTGATGCAGTCAGTTTCAACGTTGAAGCAAAAAATCTTTCTTTTGTTAAACCTGCTACGTAACTTCTAGGTCTGGTTGTACTTGTGCTCTTTAGAGGGTGAGCAACGCGCAAAGCCCTTCTGTTGCCATCGGGTTTTCCATGGAGCAGACTGACTCCAACTCCGAGTTTAGTGTTTATGAAGCAACTGGGGTCTAACCCTTGTGGGGTGGGGTGGGCCGAGGGAGAGGCCGAGCTGTTTTGCATGTCCAACTACAGCCCGAGCTGATCCCAGGAGAATTCTGGCGCTTGTATGAGCCTTCGGTGTTACCGTGAGTTTGGCTGAGACGAACAACCTTCGTGCTGCTCTTTCCATCAGTGCTCCAGCAAGGGCCACGCTAGGAAGGGGCATGACCTCGGGCGAGGCAGCTCTCTGCAGTTGAAGGCTGTCTGCTAGTAACATTCCCAGCAGCTGGTACAAGAAACCCTTTGGAAGGGGACTCTGCAGGGCACATTGTGGTGCCCGCCCCACATCTCCTGTACCTGACATAGGGCCTTGTATATCACCGCCATTCAATAAATGCGCGTGAGTGAGTGAGTGTACAGATATGTGAAGGGAGCCAGGCCAAGGACAGAAGGCGAAGGCACGCCACTACCCTCCCTCCGGTTGTGCAACCATCCATTGATAACAGACTCCGGCCTCTTTCGTAAACCACAGGGTGAGTCACCTAACTGTGCCCTTCCCCTGGCCACATGTTTTTATTTTCTTCACTCCAGTGATGGGAAATGTATTAAACACAACGCTGAATTTGAGGGACCTGAAGTGTTCACAACCTTGCTTGGATCTGCCGGACCAGAAACCCTAGCAAAGAGTGATTGATGGGTGTCGTTTGCCCTATTTCCTTAGGCTGGCCCCCGGGGTTGTCGCCTTCTTTTCCAAGTGCTTGCTGGCCGTCTGTTTAGATATTTTGTTCTAGAATTTTGGGTTAATAGAAGGCAACTGTGTAGTAGCAGAAAGCCCACAGAATATGAATTCAGACTGACTGGGGCCCCACACCCATATCTATCCCTTTCTGCCTGTGTCACCCTAGACGAGCCTCGCAACTGCTCTGAGCCTCTGTCTCCCTCTTTGTCAAGTAAGGACAATAATAGACTTGTGAAATTTGGGGGCAAAAATCCTAACAGTGCCTGATGCATAATTGGTGCTCTCAGTTGTCTGTTTCTTCGCTACTGATCTATATGTATTTTTAAAATCTTACTTGTTCCCCTTTTCTGAGAGTCATGCTCCGCTTCC